TAGATGTGTTGGTTTTAGTACATGACAATGATAGTTAACAACTTTCAACAGTGTTCTGCCCAACGTCTCTGCACCTTAGGTAAACCATTTGTAATTAATTATTTATCATTGCTATGCATATAAGCCACGTATTGATTATTGACCAATTGTGACGCGCCATAACGAGCAAAAATTTAAAAATCTAATAAATAGGTTTAAAATTAATAAATACAAATGTATTATAATCGTTTATGAGTTAATTATACTTTCTATTTGCAAAATTTCCTCAACCTTAAGTGAATTTTTAAGAAATTTGCGATTTTCCGTGTTAAAAAAACAACCGGGAAGCCGGGATCACATTTGAGAAACCCTAGTCAGAACCCATTTCTCACCACTCCATTCGTAGCAAACCCTTAATGGGCTGGCTACGAAAGGTTAGTGCCCACAGGGATTTATGATTTATTTTAGATTATATATGTTGATTTTGGAGATCATTTACAAATAAAAATTCAGTTTATAAATGAAAAAAATTTATTTACTAGTCAAAAGTTTTCGTTGGCAACAACAATCCTAAAATCATACCCTGCATCCGATTTATAGGAAATTTAATACGCAAATTTTGGGTACCCCGACCGTTCGGTAATATCTTTGGTTTTCATAATACTTTTCTCGAAATTATCTCAGATTAGACCCGTTTTCTTGGGGTCCACACTATATAAATAATAAAGAAAAAGTATAAAAAACAGATTTCACTAAACTTTTGGATTTTAACATCCACATGGGAAATTATTTACCAGTTCTAACAATAGAATTTCCCTTAAAGATGGAATGTTCTTGTGTGTGTTTTTAAGTATTCATGCTTACGTATGGACTTCGATGAAGCGGGACGACGATCCAAATACAGAGGAACCGGAGTTCGGATCGCGTAATCAAAAATGCATAATTGTAAATATACATTCCGAAGAAAATGTCTCTCTCTAACTTGCCTAAAACCATAAAAATCAAAATAACTTTTTTAACTTTAATTTGAAAATATAATATAATTACCTGAAGAAATTTCTTTATAAAAACAAAATAAACTACGACTTTGAGCGTTCGAGAGAATCGAAAAAGTAATTGGGCCCGGTCGTATCCGCAATTCCGCACATACTTTCCACCGTAAATTCGATGGACGTTTTACAATGGACTAAGGCATCTGCATAAAGAATATATTATGATAAACCAAAGACATTATTACATATACGTATTTAAAAATATTGTCTTTAATTAAATTGTATACAAAAATCTATTGCACTAATCCCATGACCACGGTGGTTTCTAAATCTTCGGCACTGACGTTGTGGTCCTGAAGCAAATTTTCCATCAGAGTGTGCGGCACGTGCTGATGGATGAAATCCACCAGCAGCTGATACATGACGGAGGACTTCGTTTCCGGCTTACAGGTGTTCAGATGATTCTCCGGAAGTGCGTAAAATTCGCCGATCGACGGATCTACGGGAAAGAAAAAGAATGAAACCGGCGGAAACGACAAAAAGTTAATTAAATTTATTAATATTTGGAGGTGCGAGATACCTGAGGAATCCAGAGACACCATCAACGTGCTTAATTTCAAGCCCAGGTTGGTTTTTTGGGTTTCTCCGAAACTAAGACAAGAGATGTCGTGCTTCTTGGCCAACTGTTTAAACTTCTCGTGCATGTCCAAAAGATACGAGGAATCTGTCGTAAAATTCAATATTTTCGTATAAAGTATATTTATAAAAGAACAGTTTGGATTCGGGAACAGAAGAGGCACTAGAGATGTGATAGGGGTGCCGAGAATCATAGAAGAATGATACATTGGCTCGACTCGGAGTGCAGAAGTGGGAAAGAAATCAAGAAGATAATTGAAATGGCAAAAGTGGCATTTAGCAAAATGAACACAATTTTATGTGGACCTCTGAAATTAGAATTGAGAAAAAGACTGGACAAATGAGACATCTGGAATGTTTTCCTCTATGGTGCCGAAACTTAGACCTCGAGACGATACGACATTCGGAGAATGGCGGCCACGGAGAAGAATAGAGAAAGTCAAATGGAGAGATAAGGTGAGAAATGAGGAAGTCCCGAGAAGAGTGGGTGAAAAAAGGAGCATATTAGAGACAATAATGAGGCAAAAAGCTAATCGGATGGGACACGATTCAAAAAGCCTTACGGAATGACATTATGGAAGGAACGCTTGTAGGCAGAAAGAAACGAAGGAGAAGGAGAATTAAAATGATGAATGACTTAAAAGAGGGTAGTTATAAAGAGCTAAAGACACGAGTGTAGAAAAAGAGGTGGTACTCACCAGACCTGCTATTACTAGCAGAAAACTAAAAGATATTTACAAAAACGAAAATTGTACATCGTAATATTATTTAAAGTCTATATTACTGTCCTTAGATTTGGATAATTTGTTTATTATATTTTTATTTAATCTTAATTAAAAATTTTAAAGGCAGTACATTAGTCGGGAACTAAAAGAGAAGCAAACGGATTTAAGAATAAAAACAAATTGCAGTCAAAATTTTATTTAGCACCAATTCCATAATCATACTGACAGTGCCACTAAATCAAATTCTGCATTTCATATGTACTGTACAAGTATCTTAAAAAAATATGAAATACATATATTAGGAAGGTCCACCTACCTGATAAATAAACCTATTCAGGTTTATTTATCAGGTTGGCACTCTTATTGAGGGTACACTATACAGTATTGAGATTTCACTGGGTAGAAATGGGATAATATTCAAGGTTAGCCTTGATATTGTGTGATATTCCTATAAAAATTAAATATATCTTTTACTAGTGTACTTTCAATATTATCAATAATTCATATTAATAAACAGGAATTATGGATTGTAAATACCTTGCGAGTACTTAGTTATAGAGCTACAGAAAAAATGCAGGCAAGAATGACTGTGTGTGTGAATAGAAAAAAAAAAATATATAGTTTAACTAAGCCATTATAAATTTATTTACATTTCTTTAAAAGACAAAGAATTAATAATACACATTAAAAAAATTATTAAACTTCTACTTTTTGGCACTAGTAAAAACAAAATAAAAATCTATAATTATGATAAATTCATATATTAAATATTTTTATATTATTAATTAAACTATAACCTATTTGCTGTAACTTTGTGTGCAAAGCAAAGAATAAAAACTACAAAATGTATCCTGTGGCATTACTAGTCTCATTATAGAAGTAATGGCAGCATCTTAATAAAATGTAAACCTCGATTAATTATTATAAATTTAATCCTGGAGAAAATCATAAAGAAAGAACACTGTTTTTGTGAACTATTTATTGTGGAAGTTATAACATAATATATATGCACAAAGTTATAACAAACAGCTACGGTCATACTATTTTTACATCAGTTAACTGAGTGACCTGGCAGAACACACTTTTGGCAAATGATTCTCTTGTTTAAAAATAATAATGATAATTTTGATTTTTGACATCCAAAAGCAAAATTGTCCTACAAATCTCATTAAACCACATAGTTACATATAATTCAATTAAGCTGAAATCTGACCATGTCAAAACTTAATGTTTGCTTTGTGTAGTAACGGAAATGTCTATAAAATGACAATAATTTGTATAAAAAAATGTCTTAGATAAACAAATTTACTAAAGAAGCTGCCACAGATGCATTGAATCTTGTTTCTACATTCTTTAACTCAGTTGTAATTGATCTATTCTAAAACTTAATTGCCCAATGTTGTATTATGTCTGCATTCAAAGTTTTTGTAGATGGTTTGTATACATTGTATGTCTCAAACACCTATAAAATTAATGCTATTATGTTATACAAACTATCAGAAATATATGAACAAACTTTACCCCAATATTGAAAATTGTTTGGTAGAAAATAATTTAGAAGGTTGGATTATTAACTTAATCGAGTTTTTGTTCCTTAATAATTATGTTTTGTAAATGGTAATAATTTTTTTTAAGACAAAAAGATATACAGTATGGGTACAGTAATAGGCCCTAGGTTAGCAGAAATAGCTAAGATTAAAATATATCAGAGAATAAAAAAAATTAAAAGGATTAATAACAGGTTTAAAACAAAAAATAATAAAGGGGATAGGTCTTACACATCATTCCCATATTTTAAAAAAGTTTTTGATATTTTAAAGAATAATCTACTGAGTAACATAATTCTGGCCCCTAGCCTTAATAACAACATATATAGTAATAGTAATGAAGGAAAAAGGAATAATATGCACAGATGGTATGTTATTTAATACAAATTGGGATGACATAGTACTTTAAATTGGGCTAATTGCAATAATAAAAAGTAAGAGATGTTTTTGTAAACATCAGTTGCATCTGTTATCAGTTTACAGTGAAGTATGAATAAAAATAAATAAGATCTAACTGGAGAATAAGAAACAAAAGAAATAGTGCACCTTGAAACTCCAGCATTATATTTAATAATTGGCATACTTTAACTTGTTTTTTGAACAAGTTCAGTGCTTATCATTTGCATTTGTTTGGTATCAGTCAAAAAATGTTATTTATAAAAAATTTTACTATTTATCTTATATATAGGTATGTAGAGTTTTCATTTATATACTGTAATTGTTTACTAAGTTTATTGTATCATTATAGCAAGTACCAAAGAGGAGCTAAAGCCCAAAATGTATTTACATTAAGAGAGGTAATAAAATATTTTGGATGATATTCTAGTCTGTTTAGTCCTTGTCAGTTAGAAGAAATGTGGCTGTTCAAGTCTGGTTTTGAAATATATATTTTTTAGTTCTCTAAATTTACAATGTATTCACCAAACTTTTAAACTTTATATTTGCTGTATTTTTTATTTTGTTATGTTGAGTAAAATTAATTATTACGAAAAGACGATCTTCTGCCTTATTTGCAAACCATACCAATGTTATGTGCTGTTTTCATTTTTATATTATTTGTTATTTTCAATGTTTCTCATAAATCTTTTATTAAAATTTAATCAAATAAATAAATGATTTATTGTTATTTTTTAACTTTTTCAATAAAAATACAAACAGACCTTTTTTCAATTCTTTCACTTCTTTAGTCGGAAGTAATATTAGTTTCCAGCCGGAATCCACAGTGGCCAAAGAACTTCCTCGGTGAGGTACGCTACAAAACACTACGCCAACTGAATTCTCTAACACGTTTCTAATGCTGGGATCTCTGTTTTTGGCTGCTTCGAGAAGCATTTGTTTTACTAACAATCCTGAAATTTGTTGTTAAAACAATATTAAGTTTGAATTTTCTCAAATTTTATCGTCTTTTGTAAGATAAGATTGATTTTAAATAAGCAATTTACCTCCCATGGAATGAGTGACCCATATTATGGGTTTGTTACCGACACCCGCGGCTACTAACTTCTTCAAAATCTCATTACTTCTACTTAATAGAGAGCGACTGTAAAATTTTAAATTGTTATATATACATATATATAATAAATAATAAAATTATTAATTTTATATATTTAAAAATGTAATTTAATATTTAATAAGTAATGCTTTCAAAATAGTCATAAAATAAATCTTATCTTCCTCCAATTGTCTTTTTCAATATATAATATATATATTACATATATATAAAGCCCAGCAGTTTTCTGTGTCATGCCCAAATGCAATACTCAATCATCCACATAAAGTACTTGGTTACAAGCATTGGATAGTTAAGTAACCTTATTAATAATAGTGAATAACAATTATTGTAATACCACATCTATAATATAATATTTTCTGTTATTAATTTTCATTTCTTTAATGTTTGAAAAATGTGAAATAATGTTGTTTATAAAAAAAAATAAAGTGAAACCTTAAAAACTATAAATAAATAATATCTTTGTCATTATTACTAAGGTTTTATCAGTTAGTATATGGAATGGAACAGAAGAATATAACTTAAATTTAACTTTGCAAACCTTTGAAGTTAAATTTGAATTATATTTTTTTCTGCCCTATGCCTCTTGTCAAACTTAAGCTTTTACTCTAGCAAGCATGGTATGTATATATGTATATATATACACACTTACATATATAGTGTCAAAACAAATTGAACTTTTGACACAGATTTTAGTATACAACACACAGGAATCCTTAAATCAAACAACCACCTTCAAAGTTAGCTTCTTCTACACCCCCACACACTGCTTTCAGCATCTCTTTCATTTTCAAAGCAGTTCCAGAAGTCATTTTGGTGATTTTTCTAATGGTTTTCATCACTGCAGCTTATCTTCCAATTTCTCTTCATTTTAAAGAACAGATAGTAATATACAGAAGCAAAATCAAGAAATAATAATACTGGAAAAACACTGTTATGTCCTCCTTAGTCAGATATTTGCTGACTAGAAATGACTGACGGAAGCAATTAGAACCCTTAATGACGTTACAAAAATGGCTTCCGGTACTGTTTCAAGAAAATGATACGAACGCTAGCAGAAATGAGTAGCTGCATAAAGTTAATCCCTTTTAATAAACTTCCGTAAATACTTGTTATGCTAACATATTAATTATAAGTTTTGTTTAGTTTTTACTTCACTGAATATATAAACAACCAAACCAAGAACATATTACAAATATCAACAAAATTTTTTAAAACTCTTTCCACTCCAGAGACCCCAAGGACGTTTTTGGCAAGCCAATTACGGGTTTAGCCAAACCAGCAAAGGAGTGGCCGGCCGACAAGGGACATGGCCTGACACGCTCGGACAGGCCACTCCCAAAAAATTCCCAGGGTTATTCAAACCCACCCGAATTTAATTCAGGATTCCCCAGAGTGGTAGGTTGCTCCCTTAACTGTTGTGGGCTTAATATCACTGACTGTGAGACATTGGTCTAAGTGCCAACTTTTAATCTAAATAATATTATGTCATTAAGTATTAGTAGGCAAAAAAACGACTCAAGATAATCTTATTTTTTAACAGTTTGATTAATATGTTAGAGCATTGTTGTTTATATAAATTTAATACATATTTTCTTGATCAAACACAATAGCATGTTTGATCATGAAAATAGTGCTCAAACAAAATAGTAATTGTATAATCATTTTATTATTAATGTAAATAATTTAAACATACTTTTCGGTTTCAAAGCGACACTCGTCCTTCCAGACGGTAAAATGAGAGTAGTAATCTACTGCCAGAATTCGAAGATGCGGACATTCACGAGACAACCAATCCTATTTGAAATTTATACATTTCAGAATAATCATTTACTTCAAAAAGTAATAAAATAGCATGATTTGTTGAATAGTCAAACTATACTATTCCACTNATACTGGATTTATGGATGCACAAATTTAGTCTTAGTCACAGATCAGAAATAATATTTTTTATTTAGTTCACCTGGTAGAACTAAGAAAAGAACTAAAAATAACAAAAAGTTTTAAATAAGTTAATTAATTTACAAATGAAATTGTTTGGTTAATTAATAAAAGAAATTAATAAACATTTTTATCAAAATCATGCTTAAATTATGAGAATTTATTAAAAAGAGATAACTCAAACTGACTCACATCTCAGTTTTCATAAATTTTTTATGCAGCTGTAACTCGTACTTCAGATTTAACTCGTTCCGGACTCCAGATTTGAACTTTGAACAAGTTGTTCAAAGTCTGAATCTGGGGTTAAAATTAAAAAAATATATTTACTTTATACATAGAAATTTAATTTCTGTATGTAGCCAACAACTGTACATTCAAACATATTTAAATACAAAATGGCTTGCTGTGCATTGAAATTATATTAACAAAACATTTTTCTTACTTTTTGTTTTATTCTGTAGTTAAGCATAGCCTAAAATAATTTTTATGAACAGAGATTAATTTCTGACTCAGTAAATATTAACTGAGACATATAGAATAATGTTAAAATATAATTATCCATATTTTATATACAGCCATATTTATATCATTGTGTAAACTATATAGTTCTTAGTTCTTTCGTATATCTAACATTTTAGCTTTATCTGTTCATTTAACTTAAGCAACTTCTTTTTCTTATTTTAATTACACAACACAAAATGTATGGAATAGCATGATTTGTTGAATAGTCAAACTATACTATTCCACTTTTTTTTTTAATATTTATCTTGTATACTAGTACTTTATCAATGAAAAGAACTTATTATACTGGATTTATGGATGCACAAATTTAGTCTTAGTCACAGATCAGAAATAATATTTTTTATTTAGTTCACCTGGTATTGATAAAGTACTAGTATACAAGATAAATATTAAATTAAGATAAAGGACACAAAGGCATACGAGGGCTGTTCGAAAAGTTTGCGGCCTTGCCTATATGCGGCGCTGCGATCAATTTAATTTTTGGCGGAAATAATTCAGACATCCTTGCTAAAGATACGACACCAATTTCCGCTTCATTTATCGTAAAGTTTTGCCACGACAGCTTAGCAGATAGTCAATGTGCACATGCTTTGTCAAAAATGGAGAAGACAGAGACT